GGGGAGGGCAGGGCGGGGCCGAGCCTGCTCATCCTGTTGAGGGAGAACGAGAGAAGAGACCCTACTGCTGTGTATTCCTCCTTGAGGGACCCTGGTGCGAGTGTCCCTCCGTTCCTGCCCCACCGAGGGCAGCGGCGCTCGCAGATGGGGCGGGAACCGAGCGTGGTGAGGCAGGCCGAAGTGTCCAAACCTAACGAAATACCTAAGGAGATGCAGTGGAAGGCAAAACGCCAAATATATCCGGGATCGTTGTGGCAGTTGCCCGCTAAAGGGTGCCTGTGTAGGGTCATGTAATTTCTTCCTTAAGGGTTGCCACTCACATTTGAACATTGATGTGGATTCCAAGTCAGTTTTGTACTTGGAGTAAAGTTAAATCTTAACTATAAAGCAGAGCCAGAATTGCTTTCACCCTTGTAAGTGGTGCCACACAGAATGATGGAGTTTGGAAGTGTACTCCAAGATAGTTCTGGGGTTCCTTGAAGTGAGCTCTGAGTTATCTGGCCCATACAAACACTTTCTACTGATAACGGGGAAAAGAGCTGACTGGCCTCCCTGCATTGACCAGGCTTTTACCTCACTCTTCTGGTCACATCTTCGATCTGAGAATTATCCAAACATGCTGGTTACTCACTTTTTCACTTAGGACTTATGAGTGATGCAAAGTATTGAGATGAATAAATATTCTTTGGAAGGTATTTATAGCTTAATTAAGTAAGAGTTTGCCAATGTTGTAAGCAAAAAAAGTTGTTTAATTTGTGTCTGTTCTTTTTTTCCTGTAGGCAAAAAGAGTATTAGAAAAGTATTTGGGTTCATTGCTGACTCAATGAAGAAATCATATAAGCCTAAAATGTTATTAGGAATCCTTAGTGTGTTAGGCCTTTAAGACATAGATACATAGATATGAAGAATGACATAGATATGAAGAATGAATTGAACTGAGAAGCCAGAGATATTAGAGCTTCCCTTTAAGGGAAATTTAAAGGGAAATGAGAGAATTCTACTGGAACATTTTAGACTTAAACTAGAAAAAAAATTAAATTGTTTCCATAGTACAAAAGTGTACTTTAAGAAGTTTGAATGGGGTTTACAGCACCATCTCCCTTGCAGTTACTTGCCTGAAGTCCCCTCACGTGGATACTTGAATGTTGGAGTACCAGCTTCTCTGCGGTGAAAAAGGCTCTTGAGTCTCTGAATGCCAGAAAGGCTCATCTTTCCTTTGTATATCTGGGTGGGGGGCGGGACACTCCTTACTGTGCAGTTTTTAGATCTGTGTGGCTGATCGTATGTGGGCACCTGAGAGATCTGTCTCATTCGTGCTTCATTCACGCGGGATGTAGGACTGTTGCCCTCATGCTCAACGGCTATTCCACAGTCCCCTGCTAGCTCCACACCCTCCACACCTTTCAACTTTATTGGTAAGTCACTGTCTTTTAATTCCGATGTAGAGCTCTAAGATGGCATTTGAGTATTCTAGGGGAGAAAAGGGGTTACTTTTTTGTTTCTGTTTTTCTCCTGCAACTAGAGAATCAGAGCAGGAGTTTGTTATACCAGGGAACAGAGGAGTTTAACAGGTGGGGTGTAGCTCTCCTCCCAGGCTCAGCCCTGCGCTCCTTGCTCTTTTCCTTTACTCAGGCCAAACTTTCACTCAGAGGTCAAGTGAAGTCAAGAAGAAGTCCAAAGAAGTTTTTGTCTGGGATTTAAGGAGGAGGCTCCATAGCAGTAAAGTAAGTTTAAGATAATAACAAGATCAAATAAGGAATTAATTTTTAACAAGTGTTTAAAATACAGTGAGAGTGGTAATAGATGTGTCTGAAAGTATGACACTGTGAGGATGAAAGAAGGTATTTTTCAAGTCCTCGTTTAAACAAGTTTATAAAATGAACTACGAAACCTCCATTGTGACTTATGAAACACTCACCATTGTATTTCATATAAAGGTACATGACCAAATACCATTAGGTTTCACTGGAAATTATAGTAGCTCATTCTGTGCCTGCATATATGCCAGTTTGTCTGCAATGACATGGTCACACTGCAGACTTTCTGCAGGATGACTGCTTTTATCTGATTTAAATAGCAGAATTAAGAACCTGGTAGTAAAGGGAATGCCTGATTGTTTAGTGTAAAAACAAATTAAATATTGTAAGTTGTTTTAACAGCATTTTTTTCTCATACTGCTTCATAAGATTTAGATAATTTTAAAGATAAAAATCTAAATCCCATAATTTTAGACTGTCATGACAAATTAAAGGAAACGTGGACTGAATTTAAGAACTCATATTCAGACAAGGGCATCTGTCAGGTTTCTGAATAATTGTTAAGGGACATTTTTTAGGTATACCAATATAATAAATTATAAGTACATCAGGTTTCATAATCTGGTTACGTATGTAACACATCCGTGCAGTTATTTATGTTTGTAATCTTTGCATATGTGTAGATAAATACATAAACATATCTATGTGTGAGAAAAATTATAAATAATTAAAATATCATATTTCACACACTTGATACGGAGTGGTGAACCCATTGGGTGACATCATCGGAAATAAAAATAACTGACAAGTTTACAGATGACACATTATAAGTATTTGCCTCCTGTAGATGGATACATATATATGGCATCACAACTTCTAAAATTTATTCTCTCTCTTGCTTGTTCTCTTTGTCACATGCACACAAACACCCTACGCAAAGTGTATTTGTGCGTGTACTAAACTAGTAATTAATAACACAACATTGATTCTTAAATGCCATGCCAATTTTTATGAACAGTCTATTTTCCAGTATTTGTCTCAGAGGAATGATTTTCTAAGTGAACCAAACAATACAGGACTCACAGTTCTTACTAAATGACCCCAAGGTTCACGAAGTCCTTGCTTTTCATACAATTGAATTAGGTTGCTTTCTGAGACAGATTCTCTTGTCATTCTCTAGTGGACATCAAGAAATACAGATAAAGATGTTTCATTCCTTAATCTGCATTTTTTCCAAGCACAAAAAGAAAAAATGTCTCCTTTCACAATCCATATTTAAGATTAGGTCTTAACAGTTGCCTGGCTCTGGATTTCAGCAGCACTGAAAGCAACACTGTACAGCTGAAGTTTATGTAATACTACAAAAGCAAGCTTGGGATTGATCTCAAATAAAATATTGAGTTGTGGCTGTTTAAATTTAGATTTAGGTATTGTTGAACTTACTCAAATATTCTGTGAGCTCTGAGGGCCTCGTGGTTTCATTTGATGTCATTTAATCATTATCTGAATTAAGGCATCCCTTTAAATTTTTGGTGTGATTTTTGGATGAGTTATGTTGGCTTTAAGAATTGCTTACTCAAGAATGTATTGACGCTGAAGAAAGATAAGGGACCTGGATTTCTGTGAACCCTCCAGCCAGTGGAAATATGTAACTTTGTGTCTCACTTGGAAATTATGTCCTTCCCTTATGGAGGTACTATGAGCAATACACATTTGTGGCGAAGGCAACAGTTGCTGCAATTCATACCAAGATGAACACTGAGGTTTTTCACCTCAGTGCAGTTAAGATGCCATGAAGCTCACAGCTTAGACACTTTGTGTACAGAATGAATTTCCACACTCTGGTACACAAATATAAATCTTTTAACTAATATAAGCATTAGAATAGCTTTTTTATGTGTATCCTTTGAGAAATGCCTTGTGTCATATCTTTGGTGTCCTGAATTATCTCGGCCTGGGCATTGTTGACCTGTAGTAGAAAGAAAAAAAAAAATCTTGCATAGGATTACTGAATGGAGAATTATTAAGAATAAATTAGATGAATATATTATTTATAAATTTTAAGTTTTACCAATTGTTATTGTTCTTCTTCTACTAATCACTAGATAAATCTTCAGAAAAGCACAAAAAATTCTACTTTCATTGTAGTCATCACCACCTATGGATCTGAGTAAGAAATGCACTGCAGTGTGCCTATAAGGGGAAAAAATTGATACCTGTGTTTACCTTACAGTGCAGGGGTTATAATTTTTCATGAGAGCAGACCAACTTCATTTTTTCAAGCAACAGAAGGTAATATTGGTCTTTATAAAACACAGTGTGTGGGCTTTGTGCCATTGGACACAAGGGTAATTGCAGTCATGCTGAAAATGGGACATAAGTAATGAATTCAAGAAAATTTAATGGGCTAACATTTTGATGGCTAATAAACTTTCTACTACAGGTAGAAAAATATATTGCTAATATATCTGTATTAGCAATAAAAGAACAAAGCGTAACTTCGACTATTTATTATCTGAGCTGCCTGTTTTGTTTGATCTGGATAGAAAATAAAGAGTGGGGTAGAGAGTATTGATCTGAGAGGCACAGAGTAATGCAAAGAATAGCAGAGAAAGGAAATACTGAGCTTAAGTTTATGCTAAACTTTTTTAATCCACCAATATCACATTATTCATTTTGCTGTTCCTGCATTTTCCCTCTCAAAATGAGAACATTTCCAAACATTGGTTTAGGTCTGTTCAAAATTGGAACTAACCTGGGTATGTCTTCAAATGGTTTTGAGTAAAAAACAAAAAAAATTAATTCATTATTTCCATAAAAATTGATGCTTCTCAAGATTAAAATTCCTTAACCATCCAGAATATTGTAAACTGTATACAATTAGGAATGAGGATTAAATTTTAAAATCATGTAAGCACATTAAGATTATAAAAATATTATAACAAAATATATTCGGTTTTGGCTACTATTTTAGGAGAAAAAAATACATTCTTCAAAAAGAATTTGAATATATTAAAAAGAATTTGAGTATATTTAAAAAATTGTTTAAAAAAGTGTTTGAGGACCAGGGACATTAGTACACAAAATTGGTGTTTTATTGTTAGTATCATCATTTACTGGAAATGCTGCATATTATGATGGAAAAAGAATTCACTGATATTAAAGGGGTTGTGTTTTTGCAGAATATCAAAGATGTATTTTTTAGGGGGAGTTTTTGCTGAATTAACTTTGTGGGATAAAAAATAAATTAATATTCCAGGATTTACAAAAATGAAAAATACTAATGGTTATGTTGTTGCTTTTTGTATGAAAGCATACTAGCCTGCAGTTACAGTTATTTCATTGCCTCGTAGTAAAATCAAGTTATAAAACAGTACCTCAAATAACTTTAATTCCTTTAATTGCCTTAACTAAAAGCCTGAAAGAAGTTCTGTACAGACTTTGGAAATGCTTCTTCTGGAAAACCAGTGACATAATTGCTGGAAATGACACTAAATATAATGATGAGAATAATGGTAAATTCCTAGCTTTAATGATGACTGCCTTCTTTTTCTTGGGAATTGTAAGACACCTGTATGTTTGGATAAGAAGTGTAAGTATAAAAATAATAAGGTGTAATTCAGTTATAAAATATTCTGAGGGTTTTAAACAAGAGGATAATCACTTTTCTGATAGTGTTTTTTTGGTATGCAAATTGTTATATCTGTATTACAATTATGATAAAAGTATTTCTGAAGGTATTGAAGTTAGCTGAAAGTAAATTTTTCATTTCGTTCTCAGTTGAAGGTTGACATATAAAATATAGAAGTGAGTTTATTAGGAGAATAAAATATACTTACATGTATTCCAATATTCTTACATATATTCCAATTAGGAACAGTCAAAGGATAACAGAAGCGATACCCACAGATAATAGCTTGTTTCTCAATTGGAGGAAGCTTGTGAGGAATCTGATATTAAAAAAAAATCTTGTACTTTAAACCTTTCCAAATCAGGAATTGTGTCTCTGCCTAGAACTGGACATGGGAGGTCCACCATACATGAATTGGTGGAAATTGCTGAGAATATATGCTGTTGTTTTTCACTGAAGTAAGGTCATACGATGTAATTTTATTTTTTTCCAAGAAAATCTCTGTATATAGTCGCTGAAGTGACCTTGAGTTTGTTGACTTGGGTTTTGTTTTGGTTTTCTTGTGTTCTTTTTAATGATGTTGCAGTAGGTATGGTTTAGTAACACTAACTGGCAGGACAGTAGGGAAAATGGCATAGAAACTTTTCACAATTCCTCTCAAAATGTCTCAATTTTCCCAATATTTCAATTTATTAAAATAATTCTGGGGGTTTTTTTAGAAATAAACAATTCAAACATGACTAGGCTTTGAGAACTTGCTTGTTGAGTTGTACACATTCCAAAATTAAACTGTAAATTCCGTAGGTTTTGAGTAATTATTTTTCTATGTTTGTACAGTTTGAAAATAGTAGAGACTTGGAACATTACTAACTTCCTGAATGCTGGAGTATATAAGTTCTGATAACAATAAAATTATTAGAATTAGGCAAACTTTGTATCACACTCTAATACAAGGGCAATTACATTAATAGTAGGATTACTATAATTGAACTGGTTTCCATCTGTTCTTTTCTAAATAAAGGCAGGAGCAGTTGGAGCCATCTCAGATAGAGGAAACAGAGAAATAATATTTTTTAAAATATTTAAATCTTGTAGAAATTCTAACTGATGAATCCTTCTTCTCTGTTGTGCATGGGCACTTAAACCTGTATGGGCTCTGTGAAAGCACTAAACATCTCGCTTCTGTGCTCATCAAAGCCCATGGTTGCATGGTCACAGGGTTATCTAGTTCTTAATGCACATCTGCAATATTCTGCAAAAGCAAGTGCACTTGAGAAATATCATTTGTCAAGGATCAATCTGTTCTGCCCCAGCATTGTGTAATTATAAGATTTTTTAACATTGCTCTAATTGCTCTGATGTTCTTATTGTAGGTTAGAAATCTGAAACAATGGGTGACTGGAGCTTTCTGGGGAGACTATTAGAGAATGCGCAGGAGCACTCCACGGTTATTGGCAAGGTTTGGCTGACAGTACTGTTTATCTTCAGGATACTGGTGCTGGGGGCTGCTGCTGAGGAGGTCTGGGGAGACGAGCAGTCAGACTTTACATGCAACACTCAGCAACCTGGTTGTGAAAATGTTTGCTATGACAAAGCCTTCCCCATTTCTCACATCCGCTTCTGGGTCCTGCAGATCATTTTTGTCTCCACTCCAACCCTCATTTACCTGGGCCATGTCCTGCACATTGTACGCATGGAGGAGAAGAGGAAAGAGAAAGAAGAGCTGAAAAAGAAGGGAAGCGGCAAAGATGGCAACTACGCAGTAGCAGCAGCAGCATCTGGCAGTGGTGGCGGAGGAGGCAACAATAACATCAAGGATCCTATTAGCAAAAGGGGGAAGGAGAAGCTCCCAATCCGTGATGAACGTGGTAGAATCCGTATGGGGGGTGCCTTGCTCCGTACCTATGTCTTCAACATCGTATTCAAGACGCTGTTTGAGGTGGGCTTCATTGTGGGCCAGTACTTCCTGTATGGCTTTGAGCTAAAACCAGTCTACCAGTGCAGCCGCTCACCTTGTCCACACACTGTCGACTGCTTCATCTCAAGGCCCACTGAGAAGACCATCTTCATAATCTTCATGTTGGTGGTGGCCTCAGTCTCCCTGCTGCTGAACATGCTGGAGATATATCACTTGGGATGGAAGAAGCTTAAGCAGGGCATGACAAGCCAGTACATCCTTGAGATGCCCGTTGCAACAATGACACCAGTTATGGTCACAGGGGAGTCCAAACCTGTTTCCCTGCCACCACCAGCACCACCTGTGGTGGTAACAACTGCCGCACCACCCCCTGTTCTGCCTGACACCCGCGCTGTCACACCACTGCTGACCCCAGTCACCATGGCATCATACTATGCTACAGCTGCTCCGAGACCACGGCCCCCCTCCAACACAACCTCCATGGCAAGCTACCCTGTTGCTCCACCAGTTCCTGAGGAGAGACACCGTGCCGTGACTCCCACGCCCATCTCTACTCCTGTCACCATCCCAACCCCCATTCCCACACCCACCCCAGCCGCCATCAGCTACTTCAACAGCAGCAGCCGTGCCCTGACATCCGAGCAGAACTGGGTCAACATGGCAGTGGAGCAGCAGGGGAAGGTTTCCTCCAGCTCAGCGGGCTCCTCTACCCCGAGCAGTGTCCGGCATCACCTTCCCGAGCAGGAAGAGCCACTGGAGCAGCTACTCCCACCCCCAGCCGTGCTGCCCATTGCTGCAGCCAACAGCGGCAGCAGCACCAGCCTGAGCGGGGCGAGCGGCAGCAAGTGGGATGTGGAGGGCGAGGAGGAGCTGTCAGGGGCACGGCCCGTGTCGGCCGCCTGCACCACTGTGGAGATGCACGAGCCACCGCTGCTCGTAGACACGCGGCGCCTGAGCAGGGCCAGTAAGTCGAGCAGCTGCAGAGCCCGGTCAGATGACCTGGCCGTGTAGTGCGGTCGCCCCTGCTTGGAGGGGCAGGTGGTGGAAGGCAGAGTGGGCAGGGGAGCTGTCCGGGAAGGCCAGGCCTGGCGTGGGTGAGAAGGCCTGGGCTTCAAACTTAGAAGCTTGCTGTTTTTGCACTCTGTGAGTTGTAGTGGGGAAAAATATCAACATTTTCTAATAGGTCAGGGGTGACCAAAGCACAGCCCGTGGGCCAGGGGACCAGTCCCACTTTCCTTCATGTCCATGGCAGATCTCCCAAGGGCAGCCATAGAGGAGGCCTGCACAGATAGCAGGTAGTGATGGTAGCTGGCCATGTGCCTCAAGGGTGACTTTGATCTGGGAAAAATGTTAATATCCCTAGTGCCCATGTGCCTGGCTGTCATCTTCCTCTTGCCCTTGCCTTCACTTCCACTCTTTTTCACACAGGCTCTACATGAGCAGATGTGATGAATCACTTTCTTCCTCTTAAATCTTACGTAGCCCTATGGCAAACATCAGGGTGGCAAATTGTCTGTTGGCACCTGTCGTCTCTACAGACCAACTTGCCATATTAAAGGTGACTCAGTGTGTTCCATATAACATGACTTAAAGAAGCCTTTGTGCTCATTGCAAAACACCAATGTGGTCCTCGGCCAGGCAAAGTTTAGGTAACCCCTGTGATAGATTTTTGAGGTTCTTTCCATAATTTTTTTTTTTCACTCTTGACCTGTTAGGAAGTGTTCAGTTTGACCTTCTATCCAGTGTTTGCCGACCATGATCACACCATGTTTAAAAGCCTGCAAATATGTTTGAGCATGTTTGATTATAATTTTAGATGACTTCTGAAATTGCTTAGAGGAGGACAGGAATTTAAATCACACCTCAGAAATTATTACACAGAACAATTTCTCTTCAGAAAGCAAGGATTATGATTTCAATACACTGTGGCCCCATACATTGCCTGTGGACAAACAATAGGATAAAGTACAGCTCTGCATTTTAGACTACTAGATATCAGCTTAAGTTTGTTGGAAAAATGCTTTTTAGAAATAAACTTGAGTGCATATTTTTAAGTATTTGAACATTTTGAGAATAATTTTGATCTCTAAGTTTAAAGTTACTTGACTGTGTATTTAATAATTTTAGTTTGATCTTACAAGAAAATGTAAGAGGAAAGAAACTTACTAATGGTAAAATTCCAAAGCAACATTATTTCATGTTGTGTCCTACCCTTTAACATCAATCTGTAATGTCAGTGAAAACAAATTTAGATAATACTGTATTGCAGAAAAGGTGACTAAAATATCTGGGCAACATAGTGGCTGAAGAGTCTGTTCTGATCCCACTGAAGTCACTTGCAGAATTTCTATTGAATTTTACAAGGAGCAAGATTTGGGGACAGATCTTGCAGGCCTTATTCAAGCAAAACTAACATTCTCATACAGTTTTGGGAGCCAGAAGAAATGTAGATTTTGGGCTGTAGATAAAGACATTGAAGTCCTGCTTTTGAAAATTGTGTGTTTCCCTTAAAAATGGGTGAAGGAAAGTACTGGGTACTTGTTACTAAGGTGCAGTTTTCCTTACAATGGGCTCTGTCCATTATTCCTTTGTTAACACGACATTAGTCAGAATTCTGAATGCCTGATAAGGCTCGGGAGGGTTTTGGTACAAAAGGAATGCAGAATTAGGCCCAACTTCCGTTCTAAGCAAAATCCAAAAGAACTGGAGCTTGGAGTCAGTCCTGTTGCTGCTATAAATTGAAAGTACTGTAACTGGAGAACACACTGGGATAGCCCTTTGCATCTTCAAAGTATTTGGCCTGGCAGTGCAGTCCTTACTCAGGCAAAGCAGGGTCACTCTGTAGCTAGTAGTTACAATTGCCTGTTATTTCTGCTGTTATATGTTTTCCTGAATGTGTTCATTTTATTCAACAGCTAAAATATATTCCTACTGCTCAAGATTAAACATTTTTACTGCTTTCTGAGTAGTCAAAAAAAGCTTCTCATGATCAGAAGCACTGTTCTGCAACCCTTGGTCATGTTGTCTCATGACTTCCTTGTCCTGCTTGTGGTGAATCAGATGAGAAGTCTTTCTGCTCCCATGATCTTGGGGGCAGACACTGCATTAAAAGTCAATGTGTAGTAGTACAATACAGGTATTTATTATTAGGTGTTCAGCTTCAGACATGTTCTCATGGATTTTCAGTGTTATAAGCCATAAAAACCCTTTCTGCAAGAAAACTAAAAGCTAAATTCTGCTTTCTGTTGTACCCATGCAACTATGCTGAACTTAAAACTGAAGTTGATGAAGTTGCCTAGATGTAAACAGAGGCAGAATATAAGACTCCAAATTTTTAGATTTACTAGCATCTATAGTAGCAGTTTTGTAAGTTTTGATAAATGCCAGCTATTTATATTGCTGAAAAATGCAATATGCATCTCTGTATTTTAGTTCATCAAAATTTGAAGGCTACATTTGCCTTTCTTCTATGCTTCTGAAGAATGAGGTCAAAGTCTTTCTGGAGTGTATTTATATAAACGAGACCACCTGGAATATGTGCTTTTTTATATCAGTGCCTGAGAGCAAAACTGACTTGTTGTTTGATGGGGCTCTGAATCTTGCAGTCCTTACTTTAATACAACCCTCACAGAGTGTGTCCTGCAGGATTGCATCCATATTGTATATAAAAAATAGTAACAGAGATAGATTTAACTTAGGATCAACTGATACCTAGTCTGACCTTTTCAAGTAAATGTGTGTGGTTAGACCTGCAGAGAGTTCAGGTGCTTTTGTGGAATATATGGTATTTTCAGTCCTATGGTATATAATATAGGTATTTTCAGTCAGAGTAACTACTGGAAAGCTCTAAAAGATCATTTTTCCTGTTAGGTGAAGCTCGGGGGGAGAAATGTAAGTCTATCGCAACCCCTAAGAGAAGTCTGAGAGAGCAGCCTCTGCATCCAAGCAGTACTGGTCTAAGAAAGCAAAGCTACAACTCACAGGTTGCGCTTTTAAGATCAGCTTAAGTTCCATCACATAACTATGCAGCGTCAAGCCTCTTCATTACCTACAGTTTCATTTGGAGTCCAGTAACTGTTTCTTCATTTAAGCCCAGGTAACTGTTTTGGCCCAGGTAACTCCTCCTTAGTGCTTACAACTGCTTTTAGTTGCTGCATCACATCTGGGCTCAGATTTGTTGAAAGAAAAGTCTTATTGGTGTGGCCAATTTTGAGCGCTCTAATCTTTACTCATGAATGAACACTGCATTCAATGTCCTATGAGTCAAGTATAACTATGGAGAATTCCTCAGTTCTAGAAAGTATGTACAAATACTAACTTGCAGAATAGACTGTTGGTAAAAACTATCTGATAGTTTCCAAGTCATTTACTCTTTTACATCAATTAATTACAGTCTCATGCGAACTGGTAGAAAGTGATATTTTGATTTAGCCCGGTCGTACGGCTGTTCAATCCACAATCCTGAAAGACCTTAGGTGCACAGCTAAGATGAAACCTTTAGGTAAGTTATTGCAAAAGCAGAAGTCAGAACAGAATCACGCCTGATATTAAGCAAACTGAAAAAAAACTCACTCATTTTTGCTCTTTGAGTAGAATAATTGTGGGGAAACTTATTCTCTCTCTTACTTGAAGTTAAAAAATATACTGAGGTGAAGTATGGAAAAGAAAACTGAAAGAAAATACTCTTTGAACAAGTTACCAGGTGTAGTATATTTGTCATTCATCAAGGCACTCAGAGCTAATAAATGTCTAACATTTTGCAGCTCTTGAGATTATTTTCTGATATGAATACATAAGTGTAGGATCAGCGAAATAATTAAAGCAAGCTTTAAAAAACCAGATCAGTACTTAGGTCCTTTTTTGGTTAGTCATGGGACCACCTCCTCAGCTGCTACAAACTGTTGTATTCCACTGAGTTCACATGGGTGACAGCAGTCTGCAGAAGCAGAGCATTGAGCCCCCAGGTCTTTTTGTTTAATACAGACACTAACACCATGGATTTGAACAGGCTGGGTTTTTTTCTTTAATTCCAGATGTTTTACTTTGATTTTTCTTGTGAAAAGTGTGCTCTTGTAATTTTGATTTTCTGAAGTTTACATTCAGTTTTTGATTTCAGATTGCACATTTGGATGAAATAAACTGCTTTCTAAGTTTACATTTGTATAATAAGTAAAAGAATGACTCTGCCAAGGTGTTAAACTTAAGAGAGAAATGTCTTACTATAACACAGGAACTCTTTAGACATAAAGTTTAACCTGATCACTGATCTATAGTATCTGCTTTCTCTATATATTTGAAATATGGGAGTTGGATATATGGAAAACTATGGAAAAAGATACTTTTCATCATGAACTCAATTATTACCAAATAAACTAAGGTTCATTATTGTTCATATGCCTTCCTGTGTGTTTAGAGGTTCAGTGACAAAAACTAGCTGTGACATAGGTCCTTTAAGAGCTAAATTTACAGCCTGGCTTAAAATTCCAAACAAAATACTTGAGGATAAACACTGCACTGTTACACCGTAGAAGATTTTACAAAAAATAAATGTTTTGCTTTCTATGCAAAAATATGGTTCTGAGCCTGCAAATACAATTTCACGCAAGTTATTTTAACTTCTGCAAATAAGACCATTAAAGGTAATGAGACTATTTGCATAAACAAAAAATACTGATGTGAAAAAGAAATTGTAGATTTGCATTTTAAGTTTGCTGTAGATACCAATGTAGTTCTAGAAGTTTCAGTTCTTGAAGAGTTATGTGAGCATATTTTAAGGTGGAGAATATACTGTTAAGCCCATTGCCACCGTTTCTCACAGTTAATGGGTTGTAAAGCATAAGAAGGCTTACTCAGAACTTTCTTGTCGCTTTCCAGATGTTTGCCTTTTACATGACAGTAGACATAACAAGTTTTCTGGGCTGTCAGGAACTTGTAGAACAATAAAACCAGCAAACAGTTAAAAGTGCTGTCTTCAACAAAGTGCCTTGTATATTAAATTCTGTAAGAAGCAAGTTGATGTAAACGTTAATTTACCTCATATGTTTATAAAATTGTGACTAAATAAACTTTTTGTACCACAGCATTGTCTCTTTTAGATTAAATTTTCATGGTTGTGTAGATGGTCTTTTAAAATACTAACACAATGGAACAGTTAGTTCCCTCCATTTATTCACTTACACTGCTGCTTTCCTTCTTTATATGAAGTGCTCACTGAATTGCATCCGTTGCAAAACTGGATGCTGAAACCTGTCTCCATGCAGAACTCCCAGTGGCTTCAGAGGAAGTTCACCATCCAGAAGAACTGTGTGATCAAGACCCACTTGAGCAAAGGGTGAAATGCTGCCTTCTGCCTTCTGCCAAATACAGGTTTCACCCTTGGCTCTTACTTTGACACAGGAATCCCCATTCATCTCGTGGTGCGGTGTTGATAGTGACTCCCATCTTTTCCCCAGTGCTGACTCACTAACTTTAATCTATCCATCTAACTGATATGTCATGAGACTGTTAATTGAAAATGCATGAAGGATTTTAGTGAAAGGAAAATGTGTCCTTACTGGGGATAATGTGGGGTATCCGCTGCACTGTGCTTAACCCACAGTTAAGCACACAAAAGTGTAACCCAATTTTGTACTGAAATTGTACCATGTACTAAAGGCAAGTTAGTCTAAACATTGTATAGTCCTGTGAAAAGGCCAGGTCCAGGTTTCTGAGAAGTTTTACTTTTGAAAAGCAGCAATGTTGGCAAGACTAAGTAACTCTTCCAGAAGTGTTAAGTATGAAGGCTTTGTAAAACTTTATTTTATATGCAGCACTTTTATGGACCTGGCAGTTCAGGATAGTTTCTGCCTGGTGGTACTAAGTGCTTCTCTCTCATGTGAGTACTGTCAAGCATATTTTTGGTGCCTGCTGTGCTCAGGCAATGCTCTTTCTGCTTTACATGATGTATCCATATGGTAAACCAGATTGTTCATCATCTCTCATGACTGGCAGGAGTAAAGCAAGTAATAAGCTAGGGAAGAAAGTGCATGAAGTGATATGGTAATACCAACTGTATTGCTGAAGAAAACTCACTTGCCTTTGACCAAGAGCACTTTTTGTTACAAGTGTATCTTGCGTGCTTTGTGTTTAGGTGCATGTTCCACAGTTTTGTCACTTGAAGAACAGTCAGAGTACTCCCAAGGGAGCTGAGAGCATCAGCTGGTGCAGACACAGCTCAGTCCTGCACTCTCCCTCCCTTGGGACACAGCTACGCTGCCGTCACCTTGCATCCACTGTCTCTAAAGAATTTCTGGCTGGAGTATGAGGTAGGAATGTTGCCACTCTTGGTCTCTGAAGGTCTGTGTGATGGTGTGGGTAGCTTTTGCTGCCACATTGAGCAATGTGGCTTCATGTGAGCTTGTGGAGGAAGGCTGAAAGGTATGTTCCCCTCATCCATAGCTGTGTCATGGCACCCTGAAATTCCTGATGGTAATGAGAATAGGTGTACTGGGGGGAACCCTAACCTGCTCCAGTAAGTCTCTGAACAGTTGTGCTGAATGCCAAATGAGGAGCATTCCATGCACTCTTGTACTGCTGCTGCTGTCCCTGGGGATTTGGCACAGGAATAATCACCTGGGCTTTAGCAAGCATTTTCACTGTGACTAAAAATGGGATTTAACTGACCTTATCAGTGCTTTCCCACTCTTTAGCTGAAATAGGAATGAAGGCAATACATATTAGCTCCCAAGGAAACAGATGTCAGCTAGTCAGGTCTTAAAAGGTCTGACATTTTGATCACTTTTGGCAAGTGGATGTACATCAAGTCTAACTGGTTTTGTGTCTATTTTCAGCAGACAATAGAGTAAGCAGATGCTTACCCAAAATCACAAAACTGAAGAGAGATCCTTCTCATGAAAATGGTCTAGGAAGACTGTGTTTTTGTGTCGTAGTCCAGGAAAACAGTGTGTTTGAAGAAATACACATTTTAGCACTTGCGGGTACGTGATATTAAGCCAGAATTACAGGTATCATTAATTACCGTTACTGCATTAGTAGGATAGTTGGATCACACCAGCTGTTCTTCACTGTATAAGGCTTTTTTGTTCTTAAAGAGAGATTAGTAGTAAATAGCAACAAAATGCTGTCCTTCATGAGTAATTACTTCCTTTCCTTTCTCTTGTGGTATGGGATCTGTGTATCTTTGAGTGACTAGCTGTAGTACAGTGTCTGTCAGAACTATTTTAGTCCTTAGAAAGGGACATTCAATATGTGGGCTTTTGCCATACCTTGTGTTTAAGGGTGACCCTCTGCACTTCCAGCAGTGACTACAGATGTGGTTGAGGTGCCTGGTGTCACGGAGAGCGGCAATGAGCAGATTAACACCAAGATCACAAAAAGCTGCCCAGGCTTGCTGTGTTTGCATCACTAATGTAGCCAACTCTAACCTATGTGTGGTGGGTACCTTTTGTCAGCCACATCCCTGTCATTTTAGAGATTGTCTCCTGAGGGGAAAAAAAAAAAAAAAGGAATGAATATCTGCAGTTCTTTATCCTCTTTATTTATTTGTCCCATGAAAGCATGATAAAGTCTATTAAAATGTCCAGACCTTTGCATTTCTAAGTAGTATGAGACATGGTTTTTTAAAGAGTTCCTGTGCTATATAGAGGATATTTTTGAAAATACAAAGGGCTTCACAAGGTAAAACTCTCAAAAAACCAACACATTTTTCATTGGGATATATTTTTCTTGTGTTTGCAAAGTCAGTGAATTGATGGAGTAAAGTAAAATAAACGCTTATTTTCCACATGAGAATATAGATTGTATTTCTATTCTCCTTCATTAAATGAAAACTAAAAAGGGAGAACAAACAGTTATCAACTAACATATATCTCACTTCCCTGTTTGAGAAGATTAAACTTTCTAAAGATTTTGACTTTAAGGAATGTTGTGGTCTTCTGAGCAGAGACTAAGGGATAATTATGGTTGAACTATCCTGCCTCACAGAGCAACCTACTGTTTGCTTTGCATGTCTTATGTAGTGGGGTTTGCTATGTAAATTCTGCACAAAATGCAGAAGTAAGCAGCTAAGGATCTTTTACCTAAGCAAACTTATCATGTTTGGATTATAGATACTCTGAGGGGAAAGAATCTTCTTATCATTAGAGAAAAGCCTACAGCAAAGTCAGCCTGGCTGGGGTACCAGAAACACACATGGCTGATTTTCTGTCTTTTCTATATCCTGTAGTCATTTAAACTCTCTACTCAATTAAAATGATAAAGCCCAGTGCTTTGAGAGCAGAATTCTTGGCCAGGAGTCTACAAAATAATGCCCGCA